CCCCAACACACCGTACACCCCTCAGATGAACGCCTACGGTCAGCAGTTTGGAAACACCGCTGCCATCCAGGAGACCAACCAGCCGGGTGTCTACCTTGTTTTCAACCAGATGACTGGTCAGTACCAGTACGTCGTTGACCCGAGCTACCAGCAGGACAACGGCGACATGCAGGCTCAGAATGGTATGTCGGGTCTGTCGCACTCGCCGCCGCCGCCAACTCCCCGCTTCGCTACTTCGCCGCCCAAGGTTGATACCCCAGTGCTCCACGTCTCTCCTCCCAACGAGAGTAACCCCAGCCCCTGGGGCTCGCGCAGCACTTCGCCGCCGAAGAAGTCCAACACCCCACCCCAGGATGTAGTCCCGCTCCCACCGCCATCTGCCAACGCTTTCCGTCGCGGCCACAAGAAGAACCTATCTTCTCTTGCTGTTGATGGCAAGGCCGAGGAGGGTCCTCGCTCTGCCTTCACCCGCCCGGTCGGCTTCCCTGCCACCCCGATGACTGGCACATTCGGCCCTGGTCAAGCACGCGCTGGAGAGCACCCAGTTCGTCAGCCTCGCAACCCTCCTTCCATCGAGGAACTCAAGGAGCGCCCCACTACCAAGCACGAGGGTAGCAAGAACTTTGCTACTCGTCAACGCCGCCAGGCCGTGGGCAACCTTGTGCGAGCTGGCATCGGCCGCCGCGCTCACCGTACCGGCAGCGGAAGCGCCTCGCCGGACAGCGACCACTTCCCTTCGTCCGATAACGACTCCGACAGTGTTCGCAGCGGAGGAAGTGGCAGCCTCTCGGGCAGGCCCAGCATCGGCAGCCTCCGCGCTGTTGCCAACGGCGCCATTGGCTCAGAACGCAAGGCTTCCAAGGAGCGCTCCCGCGACAACTCCATCAACCGCTCCTACACCGCCAACAGTGTCAGCAGCGATGACGGTGCTTCCGTTGGAGGCGGCCTGGTCGACATCCGTCCCGAGGAGATTGGCCAACGCCGCATGCCCAAGCTTGTTCTTACCAGCGCTGAGAAGCGCAAGAGCACCGTGTTCTAAGCTATCAACCACGGATTGGAAAGAAAAACCGGGAGTCTCTTCCCCTGTGCATATTACTGTGGCGCTCTCCGGACGCCTCTTGTTACGGCCCATTACGAACCTTTCCTTGTTTGTTAGTTCATTTGTTTGCTGCACTTGACCAAGGTCACTTTTGCCATCTTTGGAATATCACGATTACCATTCGTCTCTTGCCCATTGGGAAGATCTCCTTTTCCACCCCTTCTTCTTGTTTCCCCAGACTCTTATGCGAACTGCTTTTAATGAGCATGGCGGGAACGCTCTACGGTTTTGGCCCGGCGATTTGGGCGGGCGATTTGGGATATGCTTCATGGACGTGAGCTCAATGGCCTGTGGCTGGAGCTCACTGCCTTCTTGGGGCTTCAGTTCTGTGTTACCATTGTTTGTTGGAAGATATTGTGCTTTTGACCAAATCCATTCGCTACCGCCGCAACCAGGCGATGCACAAGGAAGAGTGGATCATGTAGGATGAGATACCTAAATGCAATCACACTCGCTTTCAAATCGAACGCTATCCAATTGTGAGATGAGGCCCATGATTTGACTCAAGGGTTACATTCCCCAGAAACTCGCGCACTGGGCTAGCAGCAACCCTTGTATGTCTGTGACACAGCTCGCAATATCATGAAATGAATGCAAATCCGGAGAAGTAATCTCCACCTGTTCTCAACGGCGACTCAGTCAGGGTAAAAGCCAATCTCGGTACTGTAGTGTGGCCATGGCCGTTGAACGGTGATCGACAAGATGCTCGCGTGGTGTTGAACCTAGAGAATCGATAAGCGTGACAGGGCTGAAGGCTGCCCAGGTGGTGTCGCATCGCGGGGCAGCTGCGAAGCTTCAAACGTCAACACCATAATATCTCCACTCGACACCACACATCCCGAAATCACCTACACCCTAAGTATTCAACGCGTCGTCTTCTGGTCAAATACATAACGACCATCTCGCCGCGAAGTACGCCTAAGAACACAAACCGCATCGCAATGGCCGAGCCGCCTGTCGTCCCTCCAATCGAACCCCCACCACCGCCCGAAACGTCGCGTCCCCTCCACACGCTCCCCGCGCCTTTCTCTCAGGATGCGCTCGAAATAATAACACAAGGCGCCGAGGCCCTCGTATACAAGACCACTTTCCTCACTCCCCACACGCCCGTCGTCGTCAAATACCGCCCACCAAAGCCATACAGACATCCCACCCTCGACAAGCGCCTTACAAAGCAGAGGCTACTAGCCGAGGCACGTAGTCTTATAAGAGTCAAGAGGGATGGCGTTAGTGTACCGGGGGTGGTTGGCGCGGACTGGGATGCGGGATGGTTGGTGCTGGAGTATGTGGATGGGAGGACTGTGAGGAAGGTGTTGGACGGGTGGGCACACCAAGTGACACAGAGGGAAAAAGAGAAGAAAGACGTGCAGGAAGGACAAGAAGAAATACTAGATCTAATGCGAAGAGTAGGACGGGAAGTAGGCAAGCTGCACGAATTGGGCGTATGTCACGGAGATCTCACAACAAGCAACATCATGTTACGAACACCCAAGTCGCAAGACACCCCAGCACAACAACCACAACGACGAATGCCACGAGGAAAGCAAACAACGAGCACACTCCGCGAAGCAGCCATGAACGGCGAAGAACCTCCTGACCTTCCTCCTGCAGACCCTCCGCAAGAGTCCAACACCAACTCGCTAGCTGGCGACATCTTCCTCATCGACTTCGGTCTCACAACCGCTAGCATACAAGACGAGGACAAGGCTGTTGATCTGTACGTCCTCGAGAGGGCGTTCTCGGCCACACATCCCGCCGCGGAACCGCTATTCCAGGAAGTGCTCAAGGCGTATGGGGAGTGTGGGAAGGGTGCTAGGGGTGTCCTAAAGAGGTTAGAAGGGGTTAGGTTGAGGGGGAGGAAGAGAAGTATGCTGGGTTGATGAGATTCTTATTATGGCTACTTTGTATTATGAGGCTTCGGAAGCTATGATATGGTGAAGCGTGCTGCCCTTTGGGTACTTTTACATCCTCAAACCTAGTTCTCTACGATGATGTTTGTGGCTACATTGGTTCAGGGATGGTGTCTTCTATCTTCGCGGTCGAGCTGACGACCTCCAGGCTCCCTCATGCCTTCTCAGAAACCCTTTACTAGTACACCTGACGCACCACCGCCCTTGCGCTTTGGAGGCTCCCCTCCTTCATCGCCACCTTGACCGCCCTTGGACGTACCACCCGTATCCTTCCTGCCCACATGACCTGCGTGTACGGTGTTCTTGTACTTCCGCTCGTCATCTTCATGTGCCCTTGTACAAGTTGGGACGGAACAAGTGCCAGCCTTGTAGTTGGCACACCTCGCCCGCTGGCACTTGGCACGGTTCTTCAGACAGCTCTGGCATGGCTCCCCGGAGTCACATCGCATGCCGTTCCGGAAGCAGAAAATGCACACGACGATACGCTCTTTGGCGACCTTGACTCGCTTAGCGGCGGGTGCAGGCTGGCTTTCACTCTCGGATCTGTACATGTCAGTGGAGCTCGGTCACGTGTTCAAATGTACGTACTGCATCTCATCCAAGCTTCGCTTGGGAGCTTCAGGGAGGTCAGGCTCGAAGCCGTCCGGCGTAGACATGGCGGTCCCTGGAGCAACACTGAGGGTAATGTATTAGCCTCGGCCTCTCAAAGACTCATGGAAGGACCTACCCGCGATCGTACAATTCGCTCTTCACTTTGTACATCTTCGCTGCAAAAGCCAGTTCCTGACACTCGCGCTCAGACTCGTCTAGACATTCGCGCTGCTGCCGAATGGTCTCCTCCAACTCTTCCAGCCGCTTCTCCATCTGCGTCAGGTATTCATCCTTGCCGACGCTTTCTGCCTTATCTTTGACCAAATCGAACATCAGCTCCACGAGTGACGTCTGAGTCGCCTTGAGCTCATTGATCCGCGAGCTACGGTCGATGGGTGAGTCGCTGTCGCCAGTCGCGTCGGCGCGAGCGGTGACGTCGTCTGTCTGGGTGGAACTGTTGTTGACGGGCATCTTGTATGATATTGATTGGACGCGTAGGTAGTGAAGTGACAAAGAAAGGAAGTGTCTTATTCGACGGAGGTGTTTGAGCGGTAGCATCTGATTCAATGGTTGCCTAGAGATCTCTTGCTTTCGTCACTAGCGGCTTCTCACCTTCACTTTCTCCACTTATTGGTCACACAAACAGCGCGTCTACGCCGCCAGACTGACGACCAGGCGATGAAAAACAGCTCACGTGCTCGCTAACTAGCGCCTTCTCGTCGCACATATATACTCGACTTCCCGCCCAATTCCTCTTCTTCTTCTTTAGGCGCAGCTGTTACGTCGCCTTCGGGTGCGGCGAGGTCCCAGCAAGAACTTCAACCAGCAAGGCTCCAAGTTGAGATTATAACAGACCAGTCTAGCAGCCCTGGAGGTCTGTTATTGGAGCGGCGCTTGCAAGCACTGCATCTTCTCTTGTCCTTGACTCTCGTTCGTTGAACATACCTACCTCGGTGGGTATCGTTCGCTCAGAGTACATACCCATTCTATGGGATGATACTCGCATCTGCATGGGATTCACATCATGCTCGCAGCTCCGGCTGCCCGTGAGTAACACGCGAGGTCGGCCATTCGAGGCTCTAGTTGCCTCATGGTCGTAATCGTGCGAGTGTCAGGTCGCAACCTTTGGTGTGAATCTGGTGAACCGGGTGTCTCGCGCCCAACACTTTCTTTTCATTGATCTCCAGGCCTTGTTGCATGGAATTGAGGAAGAGTTTTCGTTCAAAAAGTGAGGTATTGGCACAAGTTTGGGGTCCACATGGCTGCAACACCGCAGGATTCAAGATACTATGTAGCGGTGGGGAGGTACTCAGTACTATTGACACGACTATCTATCTATCCTACACATCCACGTATACACCAAGCAGTATCCTACCACCCTCCTCGAGCGTCTCCCGTATCTACGCATTCATCTTCTCCACCACATCCGCCTCCACCTCGACAGCAGCCTTGACAGTAGACCTGCTATCACGAATGTTAGTTGAAGACGACAATATGATATGTGTTGACATACGTTGTGTCATCGCGGTGACGTCGTCGCCTGGGTCTCTTGTGAGCCCGCTTCTCCTCCTGTACTGCCGCAGCCATCTCTTGTGGCTTCGGCCTGCCAAGGACCAAGTCCCCATGGACCTTGGCCTGAGAACTCTCTTCTGTCTTGGATGCGCTCTCGTCCGCATCTGGACCCTCCTCAAACGACGACGGCAAGTCCTCGCGCTTGCGCTTCTTCTCTTTCTCAGCAGACTTGAGACGAGCGTTCTCTCGCTCGCTCTCCGCCAGACGCCGGACGAGATCGCTGTTGTGAGCTTTCAGCTCGTCGTTCTCCGTCCCCACGAGCTCGAGCTGCGTCCTCAGCCTCTTGTTCTGACCATCCAGTCTGGTCACTTTGCTGTCGGCGCCATGGTAGGCTTCGATGAGCTTCTCTTGCTCATGTCGAGCATTCTCGGCCTGATCAAGAAGCTCTTCGTACTGGTCATCCAGCTTGAAGATCTCGGAGTTCTGTCTGTCCACGGCGCGCTTGCTCGCGTAGACGAGCCTGTCGCTCTCGTCTTGGAGGAGGGGATCGCGCGAAGGCAGGCGCGAACGAGGTGCCATGTTGTCTTGGGGAGCTGCAATTGGCGGTGACAGCTTCGGCGGTGGCTTGTTGATGTACTGACGGATCGGACGGCGGCGGTGGTAAGGATGCGATTGGCAGGACGCAGGTAACGGGCGAGCGAAAAACTTTATGATGTCGAGTTTGTTCGTGCTGGCAATATTGACTTGAGAAGGCGTGGGATATCGTCGCGAAAAGAAAAAGGGTCCAGCAAAGTTTCGCGTCCTTGTGCGTTTGCGGGCGCTCACTGAGCGGCCGCACACCGCTTCTGAAGACCATCTGATGTTGCAATGGCGCCAAAACTGCTGCGCTTCCTTTTTAAAAGACATTGGAAGACGCATAGCACCCAGTAGATAGCCTCCAGCACGATACAGGCTGATGATATCATGGTAGGAAGGATGTCACGTGAAGCCACTTTCACTTCGTTGTATCGACGTCCTTGCCACTTCAGCAACCACCATTCAACTGTCGTTCATGACGCCAGTTAAACTTCTTGTCGATTGGTTACCTCAATTCAACGCGAGATAATCGCTAACGTGTGTTTATCGGCAGTGATACCACCGAGACAAAAGATAAGAAGTGAGCACGAAAGCAGAGACTCATCACAGCAGCGCGATTGGAGAGATGAGTAGATCATATGAACAACATGATTGTCTGGATGTGGCTACCATGTGCCAGACGTGCAAAATTGAATCCTCTACAAATCGTCGTTCCGTGGTGGGCCGTTGAGCTTGAAGTAGCCCGGCTGGAGAATCTCAAACACACCGGTAGGATCATACTTCTTGGAAATGGCCTGCAATCTGGCCTTATTCGCAGAACCGTATCCAGCAACGGGATCCTGCCACGGGCTGGCGTAGTTCATGTATAGATACTCGTTCGCTTTGCCCTTCGCCTTGGCTGCCGCCACACAACGGTCCTTGATGCGTGCGTGGAACATGTTCATCTTGTCGTCGTCCGCGTTGTTGGTCCAACTCATGGAGACAAGAGCTAACATGAGAGGGCCGTCCTTAGGGTCGAGCCCAAGCGCATTGCCTCCATTGGTGGCACTTTTCTCAATGATAGGGTCGGTCAGCACCTGGAGCGAAACAGCTCCAAGAAGACCGGGTACGTCGAGGATACTGTCAAGCTCCTCATAGAAGGTGTCTTTAGCCAGAGTGGCCATTTCCAGGTCAAGCTTAGTCGTCCAGGTCCAGAACGCCTGCCGAGCAGCCGCACCTGGGGCCGCTAGGTTCGAGGTAAGGTTTGCGAGACTATTGATTCCAGCCTTGTCCGAGATCGCTCCCTTGATGCTATTGTACTCAGCAAGGACTGGTGCGTCAGTGATAGGGTCTGAGTATTCCAGCTCGACCTGAGCGATCTCCCCGACTTCAGCTCCATAGCCGAACGACAAGATCTGATGTGCTTTCCCGTCTTTCTTTCCGTTCATGCCGAGATTGTAGTACGCCTTGATGAGAGTCTCGGATTGGTTTCCGTAATATGCTCGCATACCACCCCACATGGTTGGCGCTCTGGGGATAGCATTGACGTTGAACTTGGTGACGATACCGAAGTTGTTGCCACCCCCTCGAAGAGCCCAGTAGAGGTCTGGAAACGAATCCTTGCTGACGTTGATGATAAGCCCAGAGGCGGTAACCAGTTCATACGAGATGACGTTGTCGCATGCCAAGCCGTATTCGCTTGAGAAGTATGAAATGCCTGAAGATTGGTTCAGCGCATGTTGACTGGTAGTGTTGTGACATTTTGGTTCTTACCTCCGCCTAGAGTTAGCCCACCCACACCGACACTGGCAACCTAAGCAATCATCAGTGACACACCTCTCTATTCTCACAGAGTCCTACTTACTCGACCACCAATGATGGCAACTTCATCTTTCTCAAGCTTTGTGTACACGTCGTACCATGTTTGACCAGGCTCGAACGTAGCGCTCCTCTTGTCAGAAGATGCGGTTGTCTTGTTCATCTTCTCGAAACTGATCGTGATACCACCCTCGATGTTCGAGCCGCCGGGTACTGCTGAGTGGCCTCCACTCTTAGCGGCGAAAGGACATTGCGTAAGACGTGAGAGAAGGATGGAAGTTGAGACATCCAAGGCTTTCTCAGGTTTGAAGACACATTGTGGAGAGATGTCTCTTTGTTGGCCGGCCCAGTAATCGCCGATGAACGCATCGTATGCGGCTTCAGACTGTGTCTCGACTTGGTCGTCACCAAAGATCAACTTCAACGAGTTACACTGATGACATGTTAGTATTTACGAGTTTTTCATGGTCGTTGATCAGTACTTACGGCGATAGAGCAGCCATCCGATAAGGATCTCTCTGCTAAAGGTGCAAGCTCGGGTAAAGCAGAGACATCCACACCATTTTTGAGTAATGCCTCAGTCACATCGAAGTCTGCGGGTTCGAAAGTAGCTTGGGATACAACGCCTGCCACCAAGGCAGCAGATGAGATGGCGTACTTCATCCTTTCGATCGGAAAGGCAGGGCCGATCTACAAACAGGGGTTACGAAAAGAATTGCCCGAATGTGACAAGAAATTGCTGGGCGCAGGAAGAACGCTGTGCATTTACAGGAAGGAATCTGTAATGATGGTGGTTGCGACCCAGTACTAGGGAACGAGATCCTTTTATCACTCCAACCTTACGTGCGAATGCTCGGTGATACCAATTTGCCGGGCGCGGCGGGGGATGTTGTGGCCCGACATCGACGGGCTTGTTGGCGGTTCTATCCTTGTATATGCCTTCAGTCTTAGAAAGGGTAAGCTGGCATGCAGTGCACATGTGTACATCGAAGACCTCGGGATGAGTCAGCCAAACCCCTGTCTGTTTCTAGTCCATTGAAGATCTCAACATGTAGGTTTAGATGAACTAAACACCATCTTTTAGATATTTCCATGGGTGTGCTTTTTTATGCGTCCGTAGTTTGCGACAAATATCAATCGGATCGAAAAGTCTGGTGGCCATGCATGGTCTTCATTCCTGCTTGGGTAAATTTCCAATGTACGGACTGCGTGTGAGACATGCACTGACTTCGTACATCGCGCTTTTGTGTCTGACCTAAAAGGACGAAGAGGCGGTATTACCGAGATCCATGCCAAAGCTCACGTTACATGCATATAGTTCTCTTCCCCCGGTCTGCATGACCCCACTGCACACGGCAGCACCCTTCGCATCATAGCACCCATTCAAAAGACGCCCGCAGGTGAAGATGAGCTTGTGGAGAGACACGCCCGCTCGGACTGGTGAATGCGCAAAGGACTCAGTATTGAGAGGAACTTAAGTATACATATTTTGCGACGACACCCGTGGGAAGATGTGTATACGTGTGCTGGTATGGAGGAGGTGGCTAAATGATATGCGGGCTGCTAGCTCGTGAAGTTAGGCGGATGTCTCCGCCAATGCCACCGCCGCCTAGATAAGCCCTAGCCCGTGCGGCACAACCCCTTGTTTTACCTAGCGGCACTAACGTTCCTGCATCCGCCAGAACATCCGAAGTGGCGTTCAAGCTTCGCCGCTCCCATAGCACGACGCGAGACGCATCGCAGCATGACTCACATCACCCCATTACATATTGTTGGGATGCCAGAACGCCTCCCGTCAGAACCATCATCTAGCCTTGAAACGCTCTACATATACGAACAAGACTAAGTTGTCGCTCGCGACGGCCGGGGCCGAAGCTCTTGGACGGCTGCTATGTCCACACCTAGATATCGCCACCGTAGGATTCAATTCTAGATTGACCATCTGCTAACCGAGCCTCAAGGATTTTGCCCCAACCTGAGAGGAATTGACCCAATTCGCGTCCCACGCCGGGCCGTGTCCGACCCCTGCCACGCCTCATGCAGCGAGGGCACCACGGATGTACTGTGCCGCACTGTATGGGGACCTGCTTTTCCAGATCTATGCTGTAGTTGGCCGCTCTTGAAAATAAGATTATTGATCACCTTGTGGATTGATATGTACTGTTTAGGCAGGAAGAGAAAAGGTTGATGTCTACTGTGGTAACTACACTCTTCTGCCATCATTGCGCATTCCCTTCTATACACCCTAGGTCCGTCAGCGGCCGATACAGTCCGATGTCAGACACCGAGCCATGTCTGCCCAGTACAAAGAGATCATCTCAGAGCCAGAGTTCTTTCGAGCCTCTTACGCCATGGTGGTATTAGCATCAGCCATCATGCTCGTACGTATAGGCGTGCAGGTGTGGAGGCGCAAAGCTATGGAGTTGCAAGACTATCTCATATACCTGGCTTTTGCATTGTTCCTCGCCTTGTCGATATGCTACCTGGTTAACATCTCTACAATCTTCGACATTTCAAAGGTTCTGGTAGGATCACTTGAACCTTGGCCAACGTTCCAGTCTGACTTCGTCCTCAACGTTCGGATCGTGTTCGTTACCACTGTACTGTTTTGGTTAACGCTATGGTCGGTCAAGCTATCTCTGTTAGCACTGTACAAAAGATTACTGGAGGGCCTTCCGCGTGTATGGACAAGACTTTGGTGGGCAGTGTTCACATTTTGTATCGTTGTAAGTCTGTGTCATCGCATGCCCTTGAACCACACTAAAACCTCCGATGTAGTCTGTTCTCGGCTGTATCGCTTCTTATCTTACTTCTTGTCCCGACTTCACCGCCTTGGTAGCTAGAGGAGACTGCCCGAATACCCCCCGAAACATTCGTGCCCAGCTCGTCAGCCTGTACATGTCCTACGCTGTCGATATCCTATCAGACCTCATGAGTATGTAATAGATTCTTCCTACTAAAATTGTTCGTATTAATGCTGCTAGTCATGTTTCTACCAATCCGACTTGTCTGGAACCTTCAGATGGTGCGCGCGCAGAAGATCGCCATCATCGCACTCTTCGCATCTGGCTTCGTTTGCATCACCTTCGCCACTCTACGCGTTATACAGGTCGGCAGAAAGTCCGGAGAAAGCACAGCACCCAGTCCGACCTGGCTAGCGTTCTGGACGCTCATTGAGTCATCTGTAGCCATCTGTATTGGCTGCT